TATTAATTAAATTTATTTACTCGTTTATTTAAGCACCATGGCATGCATGTGAAAGGTGGGGGATAACCCAAGGGAATTGGCCTTTTCCACCTTATGGTTTGCTGGGATAGAACTCAGTTTGTCAGACTTGGTAGCAAGCATCTCCATCTCAATGGCCTCAGGCTTAGATTTATTGAATAGAGGGAATGAATATTAAGTGCCTGGTAGTAATCTCAAGGGGAAACAGTTAAGTAATTGTAATCTATTGATTAATGCTGTATTAAATGAAGGCTGTATTATATCAGCTACAACACATGAGAAAGCAGCTATTTTCTAGTAAATGAATTAAAAACAGGAAACTTGTTGCTTTTCTTTTTTTAAAGATATTTTATTTATTATTTTTATTTTATATGTATGAGTGTATTGCCTGCAAGTATGTAAGTACACCTGTGTCATGCAATGTTTGTGGAGGTCAGAAGAGGGCACCGGATTCCCCTGGAACTGGAGTGACAGACGGTTGTTAGCTGCCATGTGGGTGCTGGGAATTGAACCCAGGTCCTCTGCTAGAGCAGCCAGTGCTCTTAACCTCTGAGCCATCTCTCCAGCACCCTGTTGCTTTTAATAGTGCATGTGTATGGTAGAAAATTTAAGAAATACATACAAACATAAAGAAAGAAAATAGGCTTGTAATCCCACAGATCAACAGTAACTATGACTTTGTATATGTTTACTTTGAGAAGTATTACATGCCTATTTATTTATTTATTACAAATTGGGATTATGCTGTATGTGTTGTTTTATGTAACTTTCCACAACCCGCATCATTTAAATAGACTCTTTTTATCCTTTCTTTCCTTTCTCTTTTTTTCTTTCTTTTTCTTCCTTTTGTTCTCTTGTTCCTCCCCTCCCTGCTTTTTCCCCCTCCCTCCTCTCTTTTTTCTTCTATACTGAGGATGAAACCCAGAGCCTCACACATGCTAGGCAAACACTCCACCACTAGCCATGTCTCAGCCCTAAATAGATTTTTACAGGTTTGTTTGACTGTGTTGTAAACTCTGATTGGTTTGTATAATCCCCGTGTTGGAGTTTCAGGTAGCTTCCTAGTCAGTGTTGTGCATTTTGTACTCCTTAGTTTTCATCACTTAGTTTTTCCTATTTTTGTTTCATTTTGCTTAAGATAGTTTCTTTGAAGAAAATTAGTAAAATCTGCTAGAGTTAGAACTCATGCTAGGATTAGGGTTTCAGTTACAGTGTATAGTTAGGATGTAAAGACTATAAAGCTATTTGTATTTTATTTCTGTTATGTTTTTAGCATTAAAATCTTTAATCTATCTAAAATTTATTATGGGCATTTCATGAAACTCGAGTCCTATTTTAGTAATTTTTTTTCTTTGCTTTTTCAGTTTGTATCAAGAACTTGATCAGGAATTGAAGATCATACTAAAGATCTATTTATGACAAGTTCCATGTAATGTCTCAAAAATATTGATAATTGAATTGATTAAAATTAGTGAACCAACTAGTGAATGAATCTGATTCACTTTCCCTATATGTCACCCTGTCTCTAGCTTTATAAATTTTTTCCAGTAATGTATCCAGGGTAGACAAATATTCTGTTTGGAAGACTCTTTGTTTAGTAGATACTAGATTTGTTATTTGTAGTGTTGGCTTATAAATATTAAAAAGAAACCATCATCATTTATACAAACTTTGCATATATGTTTATTTTTGTCTTCCTAGAATCTGTGTTTGTGGATATCCTCGACAACACGTAAGGAAGTACAAAGGCGTAAGTAGCAGGATTCCAGTTTCATCGGGATTCATGGTGCAGATGTTAACAGGAATTTATTTTGCCTTGTAAGTTTCTTTCATATACAATGTATGTCTTTCATTTTTAGACTATTATAGCTTGTCAGTCTGTTTTTAATATATTACAATCTCAATAGATAATAGTTAGCATAGTTTTCTGAAAGATTTGGAATCAAGTTCTTGATAGTTTTAGTATTTAAAACATATTGTGAAAGGACTGGAGAGCTGGCTCAGTGGTTAAGAGCACTGACTTATAGAAGACCATGATTTGAATCCCAGTACCAACATGATGCTAGCAATCATTCATAACTCCAGTTCCAAGGGATCCGACGCCCTCTTCTGTCCTCTGCAGGCATTGCATGATGCGGGTGCACTTATACACATGCAGGTATAGCACTCATAAACACAAAATAAAAATAAAAGTTATGATATGGTAAAGTTGTGAAGAATTTAAAATCAACTTAAATACTTTATTTTTCTTTAATTCAAGGTTAGAATTAAAATAAATAAAGTTGAAATATGCTAACATACTTACAGTCCTTTTCTACATTGCTCTTTTTTTTGTTTAATAATTTTTTAAATTTATTTAGAGACGGGTTCACTATATAGCTCCAGCTGGCCTGGAACTCCCTACATAGACCATGCTGGCTTCAGCCTCACAAGGATCCACCTGCCTCTACCTCCTGAGTGATGGGATGGAAGGTGTTTGTCACTACACCTGGCTTACCTTACTCTTTTTTCCTCTGATTTCCAAACAGGCTTTTTAAAAATCCAGGTTAATATCTTTTTCTGTTTCTAGAAACTTTAGCTCTTCAAAGGCATTTTAGAGCCTCTTTGATCAGGAATAATTGTTATTAATGTACTTTTAGTTTCTAGTATTGGTACTTAGTCTTATATAACGACTTTAGTATATATATTTTTTGAACGCTATCTTTTACTTTGTAACTCTCTTGTTACACAAATGGTACTGCACTTTATCCACTATAATGGTAGATATCTACTTGATGTTTTATCCTACTCTGGTAGATTATAAGCTTCTTGACTGAGGGCAGAATTCATGCTTTTACAAGACCCACTGCCTTGTAAAATTTTGCTGGAACACAGGCCTGCTCATATGCTGCACGTTGCCTATGGCCACTTTTGTTCTGCAGCGTTCAGAGGTTCAGATGGAGAAGGCATCTCCCACAGACTCAAATACTTGACTTTTGACTTCTGATAGCTTGTTGTTTTTGGAGACAAGATCTCATGTAGTGTAGGCTGACCTTGAAGTCCTGATCGTCTTGCTTCTACCTCCTCAGTGCTGGGATTTTAGATGTGTGTCCCTATCCCTGGCTCTAAAATGCTTGTTGATGGCCCTTAAGAAAAGTTTTCTGAGCCCTACATTAGACCATTAATACTGCCCCATAGTTCTTAGATACTCTCTCTTTTTCTTAGTGTTTCATTTTGAGTAATTTCTATTGCTCTATCTTCATGCTTGCTTACTTTTTCCTTGAGTTAGTAGACTTGCTGTCACCTACCATGAAGCCATTAAAGGTGTTCTTTTTTTTAGTGTCTTAACTTCTAGCCTTTTTGTTCTTCTCTCTCTTATAGAACCTATCTCCTCTGAAATCCCAATGTATCTGTGCATGTTGCCAGTTTTTTTCTACCAGAACATTTAAAATGTTTTAGTTGCTGGGCATGATGGCACACGCCTTTAATCCCAGCACTCAGGAGGCAGAGGCAGGCAGATCTCTGTGAGTTAGAGGCCAGCCTGGTTTCCATAGTGAATCTAGGCCAGCTGTGGCTACAGGGAGACCCTGTCTCAAAAAGACCAAAAAATAAAAAAATAAAAAAATTTAATCATAGTAATTTAAGTTACCCTGGTAACCTCAACAGCTGGGTTATCTCTGGATTTGGTTGTTTAGTTTTGCTTTTTTGTTTGCTTGTCTGGTTGTTTTTTGTCCTGATTGAACCTAGTACCTCATATAAGCATTCTACCACTGAGCTGTATCTCTAGGAATTTTGTTCAATTAATTATTCCATCTGTTGACAGGGTTCTTTTACCCATGCTTATTGTATGCCTTGTAATTTTTTTATTGATCAAGATTTCATTCATTAGTTCAATAGAAACTGATATAAATATTTATGTCTGAAAATGGGTATGATTCTTTTTCTAACCTACTGGTAAACTTTTATACAGAGTTGTTAGGGTCAGAGTCTAGGGCCCTGATAGCTCTAACAATCAGGGCTTGTCCAGTTAAAGAGACAAGTAACAGTGAAAAGCAGAGAAAGGAGATTTATTCAATGTAGCCACATTGGAAGAACAAATTACAGAGGGAAAAAGGGCTATAAAACCAAGCCAGCCATGTCAAGTTGTAGTCCCACCCATCCTTGGCCCATCTTGGCCCATCCTTGGCCCATGTTACCTGTCCTGCAAGGTGTCAGAACTGTGAAATCTCTTCCTAGGAGACAGTTCCCTTTGGCACCAGGGTCCCAGTCCTTTCATTCTCTCAGCAGGAGACTCCTGGGGAAAATCCAATTTCTTGGAGTCCCTAGTTTCAAAGCCAAAGGGTGGGGTACAAATGTCTCTCTTTGCTGTTGCCAGGATGGTTTGCAGCAGGAGTCAGCAGGAGTTGCTACTGTTGCCATGGTTACATTCAGGCTAACCAGTAAAATTACTCTATTTTACTTGATATTGAGGATGGAAGCTGAATTGCTGAGGAGTCTTCCTCTGTCCTCAGTTTTCAGCTATTCCTGTATGCCTGCCCCTCCGAGAGGGTCTCTCCCTCATGTGCTAGGCCTTTCTCCAGCAATTGAATGTTGCTTCAGTATTTCTCCATGTGCACTAGCCTGGTGGTGATGAGAGGGGAGGATGGACCAGCAAACAGTGTCATTTCTAGGCATATTTGTCTCTACATGTCGTGTGTAGGGGTGGGCGTGGGGGAATCTGAGAGCTCCTGCTTCTCCTCCAGTGGTGAGGAACCCCTAGCTGTCTTAGCACAGAATGATGTTTATTTTATTTTTTTTTCTTTTCTTTCCCTCAGAGTCAAAATTCTTCTCTACCTGTCCCCTGGGGGTTATAGAAATAGTTGCTTTCTCCCCAAAAGCTGTAGAATTTCTGTTCATATGAAAAGGTGATCAAGCAGGGTCTTCATGCTTTTCCCATGGGAGTGGCCACTCTGTTCTTTCAGGCCTCCAGCAAGGGAAGCCTTCTCTGGTCTCCTGCCCTGTACCCTATATTTCTTGTACATATCCTACAGGAGGCTATGGAGAAGGCTGTGAGGTGGTGTGAGATGTCTGGGTATGTGCTCCTAGAAGTTTGGACAATCCTGCCAACCACAGGGGCAGCTTTTAGCAATTTGGCTTTTAGGAGTTTGTTATAAAGTTAGATGAATTCTCCCTACTTATGGCACACTGTCCTTGGGGTTCAGGCTATTTTGTTGCCGTATGACCTCAGCTTTTTAAAAGAGTCATGAAAAATTATGGTTTTGAAGATAACCTGGGTTCGTCTTGGCTTTAGCATGGAGCAATGCTTTTTCTTGTAAGGTCTCACGTGTGCTCTTGATGTAATTCATATTTATTTGTTTTGTTGGTACATGACCAGATCATTGCAACTCTGTGGTTTACTTTTATCACTCTGTCGATTGTTAAGACGGGTTTGGCATACTGATGAAAATCATATATTATACACACTGGTTTTCCTCATTCCTCTCTCATGTTTGTGCGCACATTATGTTCCCTTCTAAATGGCTCTCAGAATGCAAAGGGACAGCTACTCAGGATGCTAAATAGTATAGGTTCTCATTAAAACCATGGGGTTACAGGGTAATTGACATAAGTTATTTTGGACATTATTCCAAAGTGTATAATTTATTATGCTTTGAAAGTGTAAGATACTTTCAAATTGCCTTAAGCTCTTTGATTTCTGTTCTATAAATAAGCATGTTCTTTAGAGAAAAAAATGTACATATATAACATTTTCTTTGCTATTAATAGGCTTTCAAATAATGGTTACTCAGTGATTTAAAAATACATTTTTAAGGAGAATAGGATGTTAAATATTGTGCTACTGTGGTCTGTTGTTTTCCTTAGTAAAGAAATAGTTCCTCATTCTCTTTTGTTTAGTTATATTGGATTAATTAAAAATAGTGCTTTCTTTGTTTAACTCACATAATTTTGTAGATACAGTGGAGAATGGGAGCTAGCCCAGAAAGCATTGGATGACATTATATACAGAGCCCAGCTAGAATTATATCCAGAGCCACTTCTGGTAGGTCCCTCACTTAAAATGAAAATGTATTAATTTAATTGAGAAGTAATTTTTCATAATGTATTGATATGTCAGTGCTCAATGATTCATGCTTTGTTTTATTGGTAAAACTTACTTTTAAAAGGGTTAGTGTAACATTTGAAAATTTAATTAGATTTACAAGATATTTGATAGTCTTTTTTACTTATAAGAATTAATTAGCATTAGGCATTGAGAAACCTAATTTAATATTTAAAAATTTTAAACTTCATCCTATTCATACTGTTTTAAACTGTGTTTCCTTCTTGCCTTCCTATTTTTTATTTGGGAGGATTATGTATCATCTTATGAAATATCTTGGAGTGTTCTTTTATAAACCTGTTAACACCTTATGTTTTATGTAAGAGTAAACAATACATTTGTTTTTTATCTCAATCTTTGCTTTCCCTTTTTAGGTTGCTAATGCAATAAAGGCTTCATTGCCTCCTAGTGCCATGAAATCTAGTAAGGAAGGTACACGGTGTATTCAAGTTGAAATCACACCAACTTCCTCTAGAATATCAAGAAACGCAGTGACCAGCATGTCAATAAGAGGTCACAGATGGAAAAGACATGGTAAGAAATATGTGGCTCTTGAGGTATGAGCACTGTTGGGTCTGTCACATGTCTCTCCATCATTACGATGCTAGAATTTCTAACTTTAGCAAATAGTGTTATGGTAGCCTGAGGTTGAGCAGGGGAGCAGATATGCTATTGGATCATCTTAATTCCTGACTTTTCATCCAGGGGTAATAGACAGTAAGGGAAATGGAGCTCCTTGTGTTAGCTCTATGAGTGAAGATTTATTTAAAATTTTATTTCAGTAGGGTAGAAGATAAGAAAAATGCATTTTAAAATTACTCATACATTTTGAGTCTCTATTCCCAAGTACATATTCCTTTGTGAATATTCTTTCTTTTCAATCAGCTGTTTAGCAGGCAGACTTTCATGTTGAAGTGACTTTAACTGCTCTGTCTGAACTTCCTGATGAAGAATGGCAGAATACTGATGTGACACTAGGGATTTCTATTTTTAAGTTAATTTTCATTCAAGATTGTTTGTGTTAATGTTCCTTCTTATCTACTTCATTTTGTTACTTTAAATTTTTTTTCTGGAAGTTAATTTCATTCACAGGGCCTTCTCAGTGCTTTCTCATTTCCCTCCACTGTCTTTTAATCTATTCTGTCTTTGTTTAATTACTTCTTCCATTTATAATTTCTCTCCTGTCTAGTCATTGAGGAAGGGAAGCAGAATAAGAGGACTAATGTCACCATCTGAGGAAGGTGACCTCTGGATGGGAGGCAAAGGAATGTGTATGACTTTGGTATTTAAAGTACACAGTATTGTCAAAAGTTATATGATGCAGATGTTACAATCTTTTTAAGCTGAAGTTTATCTTATTTTCATAAAGAATTTTTAAGTGCCTCATGCCATAAAGTCCTTTAGACTCATAAAGTAGTTTTAGTACAAAGATATGTAAATTCTATTAATCATTAAATCACTCTTTATTAAAATCACCACCTTTAGTAAGTAGAGCAACCATAAAGCAAGTAAGAACAAAATCTAGAATTACTTCATGGGTGCATAGATATTTGGGTTTATGAAATTAAGAGAAATAACAGCTTTTCATGATCAATTTTTATAATGTTTGGAATTTGCTTCACTTTTCATTTACTCAAAAGCAGAACAAATGTTTAGGGAGAAATGATTTGAGTTGCCTATCAGTACCAACTTGGAAATGCCTATTAGATGTGTTCTTGGCCAAGCATTGTGGCACATTCCTGTAAATCCAGCTACTCAGGAGACAGGAGGAGAATCTTGAGTTTGAAGCCAACATGTCCTATACAGCAAGGCTCTGTCTTAAAAACAGACAAACCAACAAATGGAACAAAAGACAACTATTCTTAAATTTTACTTTTTTAAAAAGCCTGTGCATGCATGCGTGTGTGTGTGCGTGTGTGGGTGTGGTGGAGGCTGGGGCTTGAATACCATGGTGCATATGTAGAGGTCAGAGGACAACTTTCTGGAGTATGGGTTCTGGGTATCAGACTCAGGTTTCCAGGCTTGTGTGGCAAGCACCTTTATCTGCTGAGACCTCTCGCCAGCCCCAAATAAGTGCTTTACCTCTCTTCATTTCCATATATGAGAATATAATTTTTTATGTACATAGATGTTATAAAATAAAATATTCTCAGAAAATTTTCATTTTGTATCTTAAAATTTTTCCAAATTATTTGAAGTAAACTTAAGTATTTCTTCTCGTGGGTATAAATCATGGGTATAAATTAATCATGACTCCTTTCAAAAAAAAGTTTTTATCTTAGTGTATGAGTGTATTGCCTGTATGTGTGTATGTGCACCTGAGTCATGCAGTGCCTTTGGAGATCAGAAGAAGGTGTTGGATTCCCCTGGAACTGGAATTAGGATGGTTGTTAGCTGCCATGTGGGAGCTGGGAATTGAACCCAGGTTCTCTGCAAGAGCAGCCTGTGCTCTTAACCACTGAGCTATCTCTCCAGCCCGAATCATGACTCCTTTTGTAGCAAAATATTTTTTTTTCATCTTTTTGAGACAGGTTCTCCCTGTAGCCGCAGCTGGCCTAGAACTCACTGTGTAGACCAGGTTGGCCTTGAACTCACAGAGATTGGCCTGCCTCTGCCTCACCAGTGCTGGGATAAAAGGCGTGCACTACCACGCCCAGTATTGCAGAGATTTTTTTTAAGTCCTGAGGAAAAGAATTTTTGCATATTTATATTTCCTTAAAACATCTTCTATATAATTTTCTTACAGGAAGGATTAATTACCTTTTTTAGCTATGTATGTCATTTTTATAACATAATAAAAATAAGCTAGATTTGAAAAAGATCTTTTTGATGTTTCTAAGCATTCTAATAAACCTACATTTAGAAATGTCTATTTGAGTTTTCCCAAACAAAGAGCTTTTGCCTCTTTTATTTCTTTGTGTGTAAGCTATATATTACTTGACTAGATAAAAGGGGAGGAAAATGTTCCAGCTGGGTGTGGTGGCACATGCCTTTGATCCCAGCACTCAGGAGCCAGAGGCAGGCAGATCTCTGTGGGATGGAGACCAGCCTGGGCTACATAGCAAGTTCTAGGCCAGCTGAGGCTACAGGGAGACCTTGTCTCAAAAAAAAAAAAAGTTCCAAGCTTAACCTACTGCATGTTTTCTTACTTTTATTTATTTCAGTAATAAGTTCATCCCATAATAGGAGATTCATTCAATTCATTTAAAAAAAATATATTGCCTACTCTATATAAACTACTTTTCCAGTACTAGGTATTTGTGACCAGACAAAAATCTTCCAGCTTGGAATTTACAGCTAGGTAAACAAGGTAATTATACATTGCAGAGTCATAAGTGATTTCTAAAAAGAAATAAAATAGGGGAAAGGACATATGAAATATAGGGGTATTGAGACTTGATGGAGTGTCAGGGAAATCCTCATTGAAAAACCTTCTGAGGAAAGACCCGAAGGAAGTGGGGAAATGAGCCCCTCAGGTGGAAAGCATGCCACTTGCCCTGGGGACAACCAGGAGGCCAGGAAGACAGTGTGGGGGGTGTTAGGAGTGAGGGTTCAGCCACAGAGTTACACGGGAGGGAGGATGGCAACAACACTGAGGAAGATCATGTAATAAATGTTTAGGTTGAGTAATTATCTTTCTTTACTCTGTAGTTTCACTCAGAATCATGCTTCCTTTCTTGCTTTGTATAAAATAACATCCTTTTCTTTCTTTGAATTTAATAAGCAGTTAAAAAGCTCCTGTTGAGGGGCTAGAGAGATGGTCCTCTTGTAGAGGACCTGGCTTCGATTCCCAGCACCCACATGGCGGCTTACAACCGTCTGCAGCTCTAGTTCCAGGGGAATGTGATGCCCTCTTCTGACCTCTGAGGTCATTGCATGACATGGGTGCACGTACATGCCTGCAGGCAATACACTCATACACATAAAATAAAAATAATAAATAAAATATATATTAAAAAACGATTTGTTCTGCCAGGTGTGGTGGTGCCTGCCTTTCATGCCTTTAATCCCTGCATTTAGGAGGCAGAGACAGGTGGATCTCTGTGAATTCAAGGCCAGCCTGGTCTTCATAGCAAGTTCCAGGCCAGCTGGGGCTACAGGGAGAACCCCTCTCAAAAAAGACCCCCCAAAAGGTTTTGTTCTCGTGGGAAAACACAGGATCTCACTTTTCTGCATTCTTCTAATTTCATGATTTTAGAGTGCCATTTCTTCTTAGGCTCAGATCTTGGCTACTATGCTGGTAGCTGTGTTAACAATTCTGTTGCTAGTGCTGCTTTATATAGTATTCTTCTTGTCCTTTCCCAGTTTTTCTTTCATATGTCCGCCACTGAAGCACCTTTAAATTAATAACTTTCACTGGCATATTTTAAAAATAAAACCAATTAAAAAAGCTGTCCTTGAGGTATGACTTCCTTGAATAGTCTTCTAAGATGTATTTGCTGTGGCTCTTTAACTAATGTAAATTATGTGCCTTCTGCAAAATGACCAAAAATTTAAACAAATACATTAAATGTTGAAAGATGTCAGAAAACAGGATTCACCGTGTGGTGTGTGTGTGTGTGTGTGTGTGTGTGTGTGTGTGTGTGTGTATGAATGGACATTTGAAGATTTCACTTCTGAGTCTCCTCATTGAACAATTGTGTTGAGCTTTCTCAACTTCAGTTTCCTCTTCTGTAAATGGGAATCAAATGGTCTACTTCAGAGTCTCACTAACATTGTTTTGAGAATATAATTGAATAATATATGTGAATGTGCTAAAAAAAAAAAACTAGTATATTCAGGATCCTCTGTAAGACTGCCTATGTGTGTCTTTTACATCATTATAAAACTTAAGTATTAATTTGGCCGGGCATGGTGGCTCATACCTGGGGGGCAGAGGCAGGCAGATCTCTGTGAGTTCAAGGCCAGCCTAGTCTAGCAAGTTCCAGGCCAGCTGGGGCTACAGGGAGACCCTGTCTCTAAAAGACCAAAAAGAGATGGGGGGGGGGATAAAGGAAAAAGAAAAAAGAAAAAACTTAAGTATTAATTGAATTTTTATGTCTGGGTAACTGCCAATGATTGTGATTTGCCTTTTGGACCAAAGATCCCTGTAACGTTTTGTGAAGTGGCTTCTACAATGTAAATGAACAAGACTTGGCTGTCACCCAGTAGTGCCATGGTGATTTTACTCTCTGTTGCAGTGACCTCTGGCATGTACCTCAGTAAGAATTGGTTTGCCCTTACTTTGTTAGCACCTAGGAAGAGGCTTGGTTGGAAAGTTTAGTGTCATAAGCCTTTTTAGAGGAACACACAGAAGTAGCAGGGCACTAAGACCTCACCATCCTTCAGCCCATCTAGGAACAAGAAATTTCATATAGCCACATGTGTGAAGCACGAGGTTAAGGGAGAATGATTATACCAGCACATGATCATAGACACAGGGCAACAGGAGCTTTGCATAGAGGAGGTACAGCAGTGTACCCTGCCGCTAAGTGTTATGGTTAGGGTACCTAAAACGACACTTCAGTTTTCAAGTTTGAAGGAATCAGAACAGAGTATTGGTTTCTAAACTTTGCTGCATATTAGTCACTTGGGAGCTTTCAGAACTCATAGCCTCATCATACCTCATACTACCTGTGAATCAGAATACTTGGGGTGGGAACAGGCATCTGTAAGTGTGTCAGCTAGGCCACCCCAGGAATATGGGGCTCTGGCTGCTGTTCTTTTACTGTTTTTCAGACTTTAGCACCATTAATGGGGGGTTGATGATTCCATCACTGCAAACACAATGTAATTTCTCTTAAGCAGATTTGTGTTTTACTTTTTTTTTAGAGGATATACTGTTTTTTTGTAGTCTTAGGTTGTTTTGAAGTTTAAATTTCTCCACTACTCCATTCTTTACTAATTACAGATATTTACCTGATAGCTTAAGTCAGACAAGGCCTTTGTGATTTAAGACAGAATAAAGTCATCTCTATAGATATTTACTAGCTAAGAGTTTTGCTCCTTTGTTCGAATTACAGGGACTGTTTTCACAGTAACTCATCGAAAATCAATTTGTATTTCCATATGTATTTTCATTTTTCTTCGGCGTAGTAATGAACTGTTATAAGCCAACCAAAATTATGGAGTCAGTATGAGCCTGAAGAAGTGGACTGCTTAATTCTACCACAGCCACATTGTGTTTAGTAATCTATCATAGGTGTGTGAGGATGTGGTGTCATGGTCTTGAGTAAGCATTTCCCTAAATATCATGGTTCATTAAGTCAAGCTCAACATAATCTAATAGAAAATAGAATTTTAAGTGTACAGAAAGGAATTTCTAGGTGGTTTGGTTCCCATTGTTGGCAAAGGATAGAGTTTTGCCTGTACATTTTGGGGCATTTGCCTAAGTGTTACATTAATTCAAGTGTTCACAGTATTACCTTTAAAAAAATGAAATTTTAGGGCTGGGCATGGTGGCGCACACCTTTAATCCCAGCACTCGGGAGGCAGAGGCAGGTGGATCTCTGTGAGTTCAAGGCCAGCCTGGTCTACATAATGAGTTCCAGGACAGCTGGGGCTACAGGGAGACTCTGTCTCAAAAAGACCAAAAAGAAATTTTATTTTCATTTTTAAAAAATGTGTTTCATATGAAATGTGTGTGAAAAAATACAGAACATGAACTGATGCTCTGTGAAATTTTTTCTTTATCATTTCAAATTACCAAGCATGACCCTGTTGTCTCCAGTGCTGTCACAGTATTGTAAATCGTGGAAATTACAGTGTCAGTATTTGGCTTAATTCATAACATCCAGTTGTCTAGCTTTTGTTCTTTTGTTATTTTTTTGTTTTGTATTTTTATTTTGTTTTGTTGTCAGCCATCATTTTGTCTTATCATCTTTAATTCTAGAGCAACCTGACAACAATAATGACACTACTGAAGTGGGCATCCTTGTCATTCCTGAGATTAGTGTCACAAATGTGTCCGGAGAGAGAACCGGGAATGGGGAGAAAGGCAGAACGCTAGGAGACATTGATGCCCAGCATATGCAGGGTGTGCAGGAAACAGCCACAGATCCTAGAACTGAGAGCAAAGGCTTGCCAGAGATCAGGAGGCAGAAATCTGTAAGGAAAATGATGGAGGATGGAGTAACCTCACCTGGCAGAGTGCAGTTTTAGCAGAGCACTTTATAGCTGCACTCCAAGGTATCTCACAGCCAAGGGCACTGATGCATGCTAAGCTACAGTTGCACAGCCACAGAAGTTTTGCATGTCATCTAATAATCAAAATGCATGAATTATGCATCACAATTTCTCAATGACTCTTAATGCTCTTTAGAATGATCACACCTATGTTGTTTCTGAGGAAATTGTTAGAGAAACTGAGGCAGAAAATTGCTTCCAAAGTAATTTTCTGCTTAAGTTTTGGATCTAAAATTGCTTTTCCCATCTTTTATATAAATAATAATCTATATGGAATTTTAATAGGTTTTGAGCTTATGATATTTGCAGTACAGATTTTTAAAAATTCTTTAACTAATATATGGAATGGGGGAATATAATCTTTTAAAAATAATCCTTAAGTATTCTAATACTATTTTAACTTAATTTCTTTGGTAGGAGCTACTGTAGAGTTTACCCACAGTTTTTAATGTAGGACAATTTTTCTGATTGTTTCTGATCTTTTGCATGCATGGTAGGAGAAGGCTTTCTAAAAACGTAGTGGAGTATAGTTTATGGCATGCTTTCTGTTTAAAACTATCTAAGTTACTGTCACTTAATTACAATGAGTTATTTTTGACATTTATAAAATGTTTCAATTTGTCCTTTGAGTTTGTTCCATAATCTATTCCTCTATGAAATCCTGCTAACATTTCATTGATTTAAATATAATTGATTTGGTATCACTCTTGAAAAGTTGCTTAAGATACTTCATGCTAATTAATCTTTGTCATTTCTTTGTTTAGGAGATACAGAATTAACAGGTCAAGAAGAACTGATGGACATATCTGAAGTTGACGAGGGATTTTATTCCAGGGCTGCGTCTAGCACCAGCCAGTCAGGTTTATCAAACAGTAGTCACAATTGTAGTAACAAGACAAGTGTAGGAAGGAGCCAGAGACGGTCAGGAGGAAGCAGAACTGGAGGAAAAGAGAGAGAAACTGCAGGGGAATCTTGCAAAGATCACTTTGCTCGAAAACAAACGCAGAGAGCCCAAAGTGAGAACCTTGAGCTTCTCTCTTTGAAGAGACTGACTTTAACTACCAGCCAGTCCCTACCCAAACCTAGCAGCCACAGTTTGGCTAAGACTGCAGCGACTGTGTTTAGTAAGTCCTTTGAACAGGTCAGTGGTGTTACGGTCCCACATAACACCTCTCCTGCCATTGGCTGTGGGACTGAGGCAGATGCCAATAGGTTTTCTGCTTGTAGTCTCCAAGAAGAAAAGCTTATTTATGTGTCAGAAAGGACTGAACTTCCAGTGAAGTATCAAGTAGGTCAGCAGAGACCACCTAGTATTAGCATCACTTTGTCCACAGATTAACTTGTAACTTATTTTTCTCCTTTATCCAGTGATCCTGGAAACATTGCTTCTTTATGAAAGTACCCAGGTCTTTCATGCCTGGTCCTGACAGGAGCCCCATGTCTTAAATTCTGAAGTCTCCTTTGATTATGAAGGGAATAGTGTCTAGTTTGCAGTAAGCTGAAATATGGTTTTATTTCTTGGGTACCCTCCCCCCTTGATTTGAGTTTTTTCTTCTTCCTTTTAACTTGTTGTTGTTGCTTTAAGATTGTTAGTGTGACAATTTTTTGCCAGTTGTCTAATTGAGTTGGTTATATATCATTTGAGGTTGTGAGTTTGTTTTTGATACCTCCTATTTTAGTGGCTGTGTATTTGCCCTGTGGAGTCAAAGGGAGTTTCTGTGTGAGAGGACTGGGCCCTAACCTGGGACAGAGGAGCAAGTCCAGGAACTCAGTAGTTGCCCTTCCATGAAGCCATGCTGACAAACGTGCATGTGAGGAAACAAAGCATGGAGGATGAAAAGTGTCCGATAAATGTGCTTGTGATCAGATCATCTTCGTGCAGAAGACAGCTTGTTCACAGCACTGCAAGTAGCCTGGCATGACCTATTTTACAATTCCAAGGGAAAGTAGGAGAATTTCTGTTGGTGTCTTTAGAACATTTAAACATCAAAACTGAGTTGTTGATAACGTCCTTTTGAAGTGCTTGATCTGGTGAAGCAGGTGAAAGTCCCTTGCAGTTTCTAAAGTGTAATAGGTCATAAAGCTGATTGACTCTGTAACTCAACTTTAGAAATCCTAGTTAGTTTGGATTCTTAGAGTTCAGAGCACCCATCAATGAAGACTTCCTGGAAACCTTTGTAAATTTTGCAACATAGCTCTTAAGATACCTGTATCAACTGTGTAATAGTGAATTGTTTGTCTGAAAATGAAGGAAATTTCATAAAATTTTCTTGTACCAAATGTAATGAAAGAAAATAAAGATAGTGAAATACGGACAAAGGACATTTGTATATTATCTTAGGGTTGCTTTAGTTTGTGTTCTTACATTTAACATAAGGAAAGAATGAAATGCATTTCTTGTTTGTAAGCAGGTTTACTTTAAGTGTTCTTATAGATGTAGAAAGAAAAATTCAGTTTACACCTCTTGCCAACTGAAAACTTAAAATAGGAAAGGTAAGGCAAGCAAATTTGTACGTAGCTCCGGGGAGCTCTGTGGCCTCTAGATGGGCATAAAGGCTTGGAATTTGCTGGTGGTGGTCTCAGTGCGGTTGAGCTCCCTCTCAAGGAAGTGTACTTGAGTAATAATTTGGAATGAGAGAGCAGGGCTAGTGGGGAAGGGCTAGGAAACGGTCCACTTCTTGAGCTCTTTCACTTTCTAGATTTCCTTGTTCATAGCCCCTAGCCGTAGCCCCAAGGAGAACATGTTCATGTTTTTCACATGAATTGCATAGATACAGCTCAAATACTTGAGAAATCTGTATGTGTTGGGACTGTGAAAGCATCTACACCTGGAATACAATTTTGACCATACATGCTTGCCTGCCACTGTAAACCTAATTTTCCAATCATAAGCTAGTTTTCACTCATTAGCCCTAATACAATACATGTTTTAACATAAATGAATTTGACATTTTAATTTTAGTAATAGAATAGACTATTGGTGTAAATTATTGTCAAAAACTGTGAGGCACCAGACAGTGAAGGTTGATATTGGATTAATCTAGTAGTAATCCTGTGTACAGTTGAAGATATTTGTAAAATGTCACTGTGAATTTCCTGTTGTCTTTTTGTAATTCTTTAACAAAAAGTTTCCTAATAAAAAATGGTTACTAATAGTATTACTATTATTAAGAACTAATGTAAATGATTGACATTAAGCAAGCTGAGGTGTTTGCTTAAGCATAGAATAAGTTTAAAGAAACATTAGCTGGCATAAATGAGAGATAAGATCTTAAAATTCAATTACTGTAATGAAACCTTATTTTGGTATTGTTCTAGACCTTTGCTACTCATATGGTCCAAAGACCATTGGTGGCACCTGGTATCTTACTGAAAATGCAGAATTTCAGGGATAGACTTTGTAAATAAAAACTGGCATTTAAACAAGGTCCCCAAGTGATTGTTATGGTACCTTAATATTTGTGAAGAGAGTATCAGGGTACAAATTACTTGCTAATATGTAAGATTTTCAGTGGTCTCACAACTCTCAATCAAACATTAGATACTAGGTCATTATAATCTTCATTGTTTTTGACAGCTAATTAACTTTTTAATAATATTGATGCATGAACTTCTTATGTCTTCTAATTCTAAATTTCTAATTCTCATTTATTGTTGCAACCAAGGGTAATAGTTTCTATTTTTCTTAATTACAAATGAAATCAAAGCTGCAGATGACTGCAAATTATGAGTAGGAAAGTTGTCCCTTTTGTACTTAAGCTCCTACACAATGTACAACTTATTTGTGTTCATTCTTAAAAAAAAAAATCTGTGACAGCTTATACAGTGATTCTGAATTTTTGCTCCAAGTGGTTTGCACTATTGGCTTTCTGGAATATGGAGTTATGTTAACAATAAAATTCTTTTATGGTACCTTTGATACTATTTCAAATAAAGATTGAACATTGAAGTTTTTTTATAACAGTTATAAAAGTTGGATAATGTCAACTGTGGCAACAGCTGTTATATGCACTGCTTGCCCCACTCACCTCTCAAATTTGAGAGGTTGGGTGGCTATAGGTCGCTTTTCTATAATCTCCTGTGGATCAAGAGAAGGATTCTACACAAAACTGGGGTCTGGTACCCATAGTTCAGAGGATCTAAGCTAGGGATTCTTGGACTTCCCCACCCTCTCACGCTTAAAACCTGAGTATTCTAGTGAAGCTGTGCCCGGTGCTAGCCTCTTGGAATCCAAGTGGGGAGAGGAGAAACACAGTGGACTTTTCAAGGGAGGGTCCCATTGCCCACTTGTCTTCCTTCCTCTCCCCGATGCCACTGAAACCACCTTGGAGTCCCTGATGTACTGCACGAACTTTTGAAGTCTATTTCTGTCGTATTAAAGAGCAGAAATTCTCCAGCACACTTGTTTGTTTTGAAAAAGCAGTATTTCATTGCCTTTTTCAATTATAAAGTGACGTAGCAAATACTATTCACTTTTTAAAAGTTAAATTAAAGGGAAATATGTCTTTAAACCAAAATAAATGAAAATGATTCTAGTTTTAAGGGATTTTGCCCATTTTGGAAGAACATAACTAAAATGTTGAATGGTAGATTATGAAGGAAAATATTTAAGACATGATTTTTAACAAAGAGTTAGAATAAGGCAGCTTAATGGTTTGAGTCTATAGACACATTCAACCTCTATTAAAGGAAAGCACACCTAGGACGTGTATGCTAAAAAATGTAGCTGAAAATATTAGAGACAAGTCAGTGGTACTCAAACTAAGCACTGTAGATAGTAATGTATAGTAGTGTCTTCCCAATCTTTGAATGAAAAATTAAAACTCTAGTCCTTTAATTAGCATGAATTTATACTTTTAGATATGTTGTTGAGTCCTGAATATTCTTGGGTGATTCGGATTTATGCTTAATATCGCTAAGCTCCTCATCAGAGATCATAAGTTGTCTTCTCTACTGTGTAACTTGTGCACACCTAGAAAGGATGACAGTGAGCAATTTGAACATGTTTTTGTGTTTTTTACGGTAGAATTTTAGGAGACTTGCAGGTTAATTGAGGTTTTTCCTTGAAAACTGAAGCTTCTAGTTCACATAGTTTGCTTTCCCTCATTGACCTTACTATGTACCTCCTGCCTTTACTTCTGATCATGTGGTGATGCCAAACTTTTCCTCACAAATATACTTGTTGTAATTGTATTCCTAGAGTTTACATTCCTAAAGAATAAACATGGCTTTGGATATTTTTATGTGTTCTCTCCATTTGTAAGGCTGTGGAAATAAACTGGAGTTGTGTTTTTTGAAGTTTTGTACATTTGTATAAATGTTTTCCATGTGCAGTACTTTACGTGTCAAGTGTTTCCTTTTGTTTTATTGAAATAAAAACTGAAAAAATAATTTTCCAGAGCAACTTATTCATTAAAAACTAATAATAAAAATTTGTTAAGCTTCGCAATAAGGTGGAAGACTTGGGTGAGCTGAGCCATTGAGATCTGTTGAGATGAGCATGGGCCAATGATTCTCACTCCTGGCTTTATGCCTTAAATGGCCTAGGGATGAGGAAGTGCGTTAGTGCCCATCTAAAGAAGAGGAGATCCAGGGGCCCCAGCAGTGGTTGAGTTGTCATGCCGGAAGCACAGGAAATTTGGACTGTGTTACCTTTAACTTTAATATGAGTTTATCTCTGAGTACAGAGATTTGCCTTTGGTAGCTGGCACAGTCCTGTAGGCATGGTGGTGTGTAGAGAGCAAATGAGTTGGGGAAGGTGCTAGCTTTGGAAGAGTAGAATACATTTCTATGTAGGAAGGGAAATCACAGTGGCAGTCCCTGAATTGCTTTGTTGGGTATACTGAGAAACAAGCTCTGTTAAAAATTTGATAACAATTCTAGTGTATAGTTGATTATGTATCTGAATATTTCCATCTGATCTAAGGAACCAAGTAATTTAGGAAGCATATTCTGAGCTACTTTTAGAAGATCTGTAGAAAGCTAGAGCCGGAAGATTTTGAAGACTGTTATTATGCCCTCTGGAAAACTTTCCCATTGACTGTACTGGTCCTGATAAAGAGGTGGCTCACCTAATAAAATCTGCCTTCATTCATATTGGTATGCTATAAATAAGGACTATAAGACTTTTTTCATTCCATAATTTCCATTGCATTATTATTATGGTAGTAACAATATCTAATATCTGTCTCTAACATTATCTTGGCACTCAATCTTACAATGTGAGAAGGACCCCATTTTACAAAAGAGGAAACTGAAACTCTAAGAGGGCAGGTGTCTTGCCCAAAGTTACCTAAGTGTTGGGTTGCAAAGCCCAATCTTAAATATAGGTCATACAACTTTTCTTATCATTTCCTAAAATAAGATACTAAGTACTGTCAAATGAACATATATTTCAAATTCATTTGTTCCATCTTAGAGAGTTAAGTTGTAAAGTCAAAATTTTTCTGAAACTAAATGATGCTATATTTTGTCAAATTTGGGATAATTGTGTTTCATTGGCAAACAAAATGCTGGTTATTATATTAGAAATATGAAAAATGTAAATTAAAATAAGTGGATCTTGGGCTTAGAGAGATGGCCCAGTGGTTAAGAGCCCTGACTGCTCTTGTAGAGGACTAGGGTTCAGTTCCCGTGTGGGTACATGATGGCTAACAACCATCTGTACCTCCAGTTCCAGGGGATGTGACACTCTCTCCTGACCTCCATGGGCATTGCATGACACCATGTGCACCTACGTGCATGCAGGCATTGCACTCATACACATAAAATAAAACTGGTAAGTAATGAATGAAATAAGTTGTTCTTTAGCTTGTCAAACTGACAAAGATTAGGAATATTGGAACTCGTATTGGCATTGATCTGGGGAAATCATTAGTAGCTGAGATAATTGGTGGAACTATAAATTGGTATAAATGAATTGGTGGCCTCTACCTAGCATTCCTTCTCTTCTATATCTGCTCTACTCTTAGATAAAATTTGACCAAATGTATAAACATAAACATGCAAGGTGTTCATTGCAGCGTTGCTTGTAATAGAAAAAAAGAGAGGCCAGAAGCCTAAATGTGTGTTGATAGAGGAATAAATAGGTAAATTGGTACATACAGTGGAATATGATATAGCCATATAAATGCAAATGTGTCTGGTCTCGCTTTCAGTCTATATATGTGGACTAGTTACTTATATAATATATAATATACATGTGTTTCTCAAAATGTGGTCTAAGGACAATCTGGGGGCTAGAGAGCTGGCTCAGTGGTAAGAGTACTTGTTGCTCTTTCAGAGAACTCAAGTTTGGATCCCAGCACACACATTGAGTGGCTCATAACCACCTGTAACTCCAGTTCCAGGGCATCTGACACATTCTTCTGGCATCCTTGGGCCCTTGCATACATGTGATATACCCATACACAGACACATAAACATATAAATAAATCTTAAAGATGGCCTTAATTGTGAAAAACTGGTGTTTTGTTAAAATGGATGTTCTTAGGTCTTGTGCTAATTCCCCAAAACCATAATCAACTGGGTATGAAGGTTGGCAATCTATATATCTAAAAAGATCCTCAGCAATGAATTAGTTATTTGGTAGGGGATTGTTGCTATGAAAGATTTCTTAAAAAGATCTTATATTTTAAATAAGGCTTCCCAAAGATAAGCTGTCATTAATATCAATGACCTGTTATAGAAGACAAATGAGCCTGACATTAAAAATAAAAGACAAGGCCTGCACTACCATCCTCAGACCTCTTGGGGTAAGTCTATAGCGCAGCCCTCCGCGCTGGGACTCCCTAAGCCACGTTCACCCTTCCATCCCTCCAGCCGTTCTATACTCCTAGTTTGGGCCCTGCGCCATTCCTAGTCTTGGGGCCCCAGACACCTGGGGAACCAATACTGCTTCCTGATCCTTCTCACCCAGACCAAATCAGTCCCCTTCTTGGGCCCCAGGAGCACCGCTTCTGGTCCTGGCCCTGCCCTCACCTCCTTCTACTTCCCTGGTCCTATAAGGTGCCTGCACTTTCCTCCCTTTCTTCCTTACTAATACCCTTGCTCCTATCATCCTACCTCTGTTGAACTGCTTCTTTCTCCTTATCCCCTAGGTTCCTCATATACCCTTCCCTCCCCTCTCCCTTAATCTAACCCAATTTTTATCCATATCTCCCTTAAGGACTGTTGCCTACTATTCTTCTCCTTCAGGTTATTTCTTTTCCTTTACCTCACTGTTTCCTTACCCTTGTCCTGGTTCCTGCAGTTATGTCTGTTTGCATACATATTTATCAGAGTCTGATCTTAGGATCCACATATGAGGGAGAACATATGTCGATTTTTTTTCTGAGATAAATCAATTTATTTTTACACTTAAGGTCATTTGAGGATCTGTTCCTCAGGGGTCACATGGGCTTGGGAGGAGCGCTTGGCTCTT